GAGAGAGAGAGAGAGAGAGAGAGAGAGAGAGAGAGAGAGAGAGAGAGAGAGAGAGAGTAAATGGTGCTCCCTCTCAGAGCTCTGTCTCCGCACTCTGAACAGCTCCTTTCTGAGGGTCGCACCGGACTGCAGAAACCACCCACCTCCAAGCATCACAGCGCGCTCCCTGCATCCCTCCCCAGACACAGGTTGCTCCTCGAGGTTTTCCTCAGTCCTACTATTATTGCTACTATTAGAATCATCAGTTTTCCCCAGCAGCACCCGCGCGKGGGTGGGCCTCGGTGATGGAGAGCAGAGAGGAGGTGGTGGTGAGGCTGGCGGAGGCAGCAGAACCGCAGGGGAAGCCGGGCCACAGGGGCTGCCTGAGCCCCGGCGCCGCTGCTGCGCCTTACTCCCGGGAGAGAGCCGAGCTGCTGCTCGTGGAGGAAGAGGAGGCGGAGGAGGAGGCGGCGGAGGAGGGGGGCGCACGCAGGAAGCGCCGAGGCGAGCAGCCGCACAAGAACGGCAGCAGCTCGGACACGGAGTCGGACTTCTACGAGGAAATTGATGTGAGCTGCACGCCCGAGAGCATGGACTACCCGACGGCGAAAGGTAGGCTGCTCCTCTGTGATCCCACGCGTGTTTACCACTGCCTGCTTCATCATGTGTTCAGTTATGCGTCTTCAAGTGCCATGCACAGAACGACCCAACAACACATGCATGCATCTGACATGAAAACACTAAGAGACGAAATGAATCCCACACTGTGTGCTCTGTGGAAGTACTTTGAGCCAATAAAAACCCAGAGAATCTGCAGCGGGTGCGCACAGCTGTTTCAGTCAGGGGAGCTGGTGCTGAAAAAAGGTTGTGGTGACACCCACAACCCAAACCAGACGTTTTCATCACTGACTCTGACAGCAAGTACTCCTGCGCGCACTGCATGATGGAGAGGCTCAACAGCAAGCAATAAATGTGAAGAAAAGAAACATTTCTTTATTTGGGGTTGCATGAATGGATGCAAAACCTCAATAGGTTGCAGTACATTATAAAAAAATGCAGAAAATGTATACACTTCTCCATAAATATTCTGTCTTTGCTTTTGCCTGCATAAGAAGAAAACTAATATTTAAAGTGAGAAATTGAAACAACAAAAAGCTTATAATTTGTTTTTACATGTGATACAGAGGAAGTAAAGAAACGTATACAAAATAAAATATCAAGGTATAGGCCTTTAGGCTTTTGGCAAATAAAACACAGTGTAAATATATATAATTTAAATATACATATATTGGGAAAATACATTAATAATACAATACAATTACGAGCCATCCTCAGTGTATCAGACTATTTGTTTTATGTTGTAAATTATTCCACTGGTTCATTAAAAAATAACCAGTTCGTCTGTATTTTTGTTCAGGCCGGAACGAGGACTCCCCGCGTCACCCAGGTGACACCGGAGCCGACCCGGGGAAAACAGTCCCGGGTCAGAGCTCTCACYTGTCCTACGGAGCGGACCAGATCCGCCGGTACCGAACAGCGTTCACACGGGAGCAGATCGCCCGGCTGGAGAAGGAGTTTTACCGGGAGAACTACGTGTCCAGGCCGCGGAGGTGTGAGCTGGCGGCTGCTCTAAACCTCCCTGAAACCACCATCAAGGTGATAGTGTTGATTGTTGTATTTTAATTGGTTTCCACTTGTTTTATTTATAATCAGAATAAATTCTGTTTGAGTTGTTTTATAAAAGAAAACAGCAGAATGAGCATCAAAGGCCACGCGTGCGTAAAAGCGGAAGTCYGCTCTTGTTGTTGTTGTTGCTCAGAGGGAGGGCTCAGGTTAATGTTTGACCCGGTGTGTCTCCGTCTCAGGTGTGGTTCCAGAACCGCAGGATGAAAGACAAACGCCAGCGCCTGGCCATGACGTGGCCTCACCCCGCCGACCCGGCCTTCTACACCTACATGATGAGCCACGCCGCCGCCACGGGGAACCTGCCTTACCCCTTCCCGTCCCACCTCCCCTTACCTTACTACTCCCCCCTGGGGGTCGGGACGGCCACCGCTCCGGCCGCCGCCCCTTTCTCGAACCCTCTGCGCTCCCTGGACAGCTTCCGGGTCCTGTCCCATCCCTACCAGAGGCCAGAGCTCCTGTGCGCCTTCAGGCACCCTTCGGTCTACCCAACTCACGGCCTCGGTCCAGGGGGGAGTCCCTGCTCCTGCTTGGCCTGCCACTCGGCTCAGTCCAACGGCATCCCCACCAGACCCTCCGGGTCGGACTTCTCTTGCTCCCCAACAAGCAGAACGGACGCTTTTGTCACTTTTACGCCATCAGTGCTCAGCAAATCCTCCTCTGTGACACTAGACCAGAGAGAAGAAGTGCCTCTCACCAGATAAAACAAAACAAAAGCTCAAAATCAGCCTCTGTCACATCAGCTTATAAAAGGTAGAAAAAAAGACGCAGAACAGAACCGCCTTAAATATTCAAACATGGCCGCATGAAGCCAAACCCGGATCGGATTTTTGTATCATATTAATTTAATGTTTCATATTTTATTACTATTATTATTATTACTTTTTTCGTTTCTAAATTCACCTCCATGTGAGAGGATGATGCTTTCCATATCTCCCCCTAACAAGGGCATTTCTTTCTTTTCCTGTTTTTTTTTTCTCTTTCTTTTTTTGAACAGAATGTGGCCGTCTCATTAACTCCCCCCCACATACAGGAGTTAAAAAAAAGAGCAGAAATGTGCACATATAAGGGGAAATTAGTAAAGTGATGTATATGTAGAGCCGGCGCGTTTTGAGGGCTGAATTAATGATAATACCAGGAAGGGATCGTTGCTGCCAAAAGGTAACAAGGCGCCAAGGGAACGGATTACAGCCCTGTAGGTTTTTTTTTTTTTTTTTTTGGGGAGGGGGCCATGGGGAACAGAGAGGGGACAATCAGAATAAAAGAAAAGGACATCACTTCTTGTTGCAGTTCCACCCATGTTGTTGTAGATCAGATAAAAATGTGATTAAATTGCGCACTTGGTCGTTTTCTGCTCTTTTAAAAGGCATTTCCTGATGTGTTTTTTTTAAAAAAAAAAACAAATTCTCATATTCAAATAGTGAGTTTATGAAAATATTATTTTTCTCATTTTTTTCTTTTTAATTATTCTTATTATTGTTGGATTGCTTATCTAATTTGCAATAAATTATGAAGAAACGCAGTGTTTACGCATTTCTGATTCTCTATAAAAAAGATGATTCAAAATATATATTTTAAATCAAACAAAAAACAGGTTCAACATGTTGTTTTATTTCTGCATTTTAATGATTATTGTGTTTTTCCAAAGCATTTTTTCGTTTGATTTCGTTCCGAACAAGTCAATTCAGTCCCCGGATTAATAACCCTATCATTTTGATCCCAAGTGGTCGCTGTCAAACCCCCCCCCCCCCAATAATTCCTAGCGGGGCCGCTAGATTGACCGTGACAGCTAAGTGGTCCCCGGGCTCCTTTACCACCACTCATATTTTTTTTTACTTTCTCTTCAAAATCTACTTAATAGACATGAAATTAGAGATATTGGAAACGCCGAAGAGATCGATTACATGAAGGAGAGTGGCTAGGGGAGAGGGAGTGGGGAGTGGTGTGCCTGGCCCTGTTTGATGGAGCTATTTGGAGCGTGGTCCTCAGAGAGGCGCGCAAATTAGTTCAAAAATAATATTAATAATTTGGGATTTCAGCGCGCGGCTCTCCTCGCTCAGATTCGGACACTTTTTTTTTTGCAGCAAATTTTTCCACCATCTTTTCTCCAATCATAACAAGTAATTGTCTAAGTAAAACCTAAACCACAAAAAGGAGCAAACACCTTCCCCCCAAAAATTGATGCTTTTGGTTCATCCACGCCAGCGCACCCCTTTCCCACTCCCGCTCCAGCACGCGCGCTTGATTGATGGCCTTATTAACTGGAGTTCTTGTAAGTGTGACCGAGCTGATTAAAATGCATATGTTTGGAATAATACAGCGTTTAAGCCTCACGGGGTCGAGGCAGATTTATGTAAAAACCATATCAGCCTGATAAAAAAAGGGGGGGGGGGGTGCAGGTCAAAAACAAGGAGAAACTGATTTGTTTAGCGCGTAATTTAAAAAAAAGGGAAAATAAAAATAAAACATTGATCATGCAAATAAAAAAATAAATAGATAAAGGGAATTAAAAAGTATATTTTTTAATTTGGATGCTTTTGCGCAGAATGAAGTGGGGATAAATTCAGAGCTGATTGTGCCGGAATGACGCACTGAAGTGAGGCAAATTACAGCCGCATGAACGACCCTTCAGCTCAGCAGAGGCCGTAATCTAGCATCCACGCGCCGTTTTGATGGCAGGGAGATTGACCGTGCAGATGCGACGGGTTCATGTAAAGATTGCAGCAATTACACGCAGCCCTCTGAAATCCTATTAGCCAGGAATTGGCTCGGAGTTCTTGCAGATCCCACAACTGGCACAAAGCGTTTTGATAGGGGGCGGTGCACTGCAGCTGTCCACCGACCGAAAAAGAAGAGAGGGAAGAAAAAATGGGGKGGGGGGGGGGGGTGTAGATATGTGGCTGCTGCTGCTGTTTTAAATTGGATTACATCCTAATTTACAAAGCCAAAGAGGCTGGCGGAGGCGTGGACGCGCCGATCACGCAGTAATGATGATGAATGAGAGATTAATGCGCGTGCAAGCTAAGACAATTTAAGCTTTCGTCTGTTTAAATGGGCCTCCAATATCATTTGGAAACCGGGGGGTCACTTTAAATCAATGGGGGGAGAGGGGGACGCGTGAAAGTGGTTTTTCGGTTGCGTCTTTATCAGGATTATTTACGGCGCACCGGAGACAGCCGCGCGCGCGCGTGCGGCAGGAAAATGGACCTGCTGCTGCTGCTGCCTCTGAGAAAAGAGCAGCAAAACCAAGAGCAGGGGCGGGGGGGGGGATGGCAGAGCATCGGAGAGGATGCTCGGAGTTAAAGAATCCTGCGTCTTTACGGGATGTTCAAATCAAGTGGTTTTGGCGTAAATGCGCGCGGAGTCTGCGCACATCTCCTCTGCAGAATTCAGTCCTGGAATCTGAAGAGCTCATCCTTAAAGATTTTCATGAGTTATTTTTTTTCTCCCTTCCTAATGCAAGTTTAGGCTTTTCCTCACCCCCCGCAACCAGCTGCAAACATCTGACACGTCTTTTATGTTTCCAGCTCCAATCAGTTCTCTCTGTTTCACATTAATACATTAAAGTGTCTCACCAAATCATCTGTGAATATAAATTATGCGTCATTCTCCATGCAGCAGGAGCAGCAGGCTTATTGCAGCTGATGATTTGAAGCTGCAGAATATTTAGATAAAGTGCATCCCAAAAAGAATAAACTATTTTTTTGCACAACTTTATTTGCATTTTAATGCCAACGATTTATTGGAAGTCTGATGTTTGCAAATAACTGTGTGATCATGCTCTTTTATATGTCTGTATTTGTGCTTTTACATAATTATCCCCAAGATTTGGAAGTTTTTTTCTCATTAGTATTATTATTATTATAAAGGCAAGTTGATCTGCCAAAGCCCAAGTTAAAATGTTAAATTTGTTCTCTCTTTGCTCTTGTTAGTTGATAAAACTCAGGATAATCTTCCAGGCATGGCAAACAACCATCTTAATAAATAAAAAAAAGTGATGCACTGAAATGAATCTGTCAAAATGCTCATATTTTTAGTTGATATATTTAAATCCCCCAGCTTTCAAAGTAGAGCGGAACTTCACAGCCTGCTGGGTTCAGTATCTAACTATAGTTTCATAATAACCCCTCAGAATTGAAAATACAACTTGTCCAATTATTCCAGCAGCGACTTTATACATTCTCAACCAATATATGTTCAACATCAAGCCAGTAGCATTTTCCAATGTTAAAAAGAAAAAAAAAACACTCTCTCATTCTGCGCCTGTATCGTTTGCCATCATATAAGATATATTTTGTTTTATATCTCCTAAAGTTTTATTTACCATATTGTATTACATAATTTGGACCATTTAAATTTCTCCTCTTGTGCAAACATCTTAGAAATAATAAACAATACCTTGAATTAACCATATTCATGATCAGTGATGATCATGCAGTGTTGTACACCATGCAAAAACATAACAATAATCAATTAAAAAATGAATAATCAGTTTAATTAATTGTTCTTTCCTGATCCGCTTCATTCAGTGTGTTCATTTTTGCCATCAGAGAGTTGAGTTAAAAAAACAACAACAATAAGTAATTCATAAAATCAGAAGCAAACTCATTGGCACCATGCGTCTCAGTTTTAATTAGAAAGCAAGATGTGGCATCATTACCTCCTCCTTTCTCTACCCTCTTGGCTAAAGACTAAATACTTTTAATTTAGGTTTTGGACAGTTGTTTAAATTGAAATTGCTAGCATTAAAACAGGATCGGATGATGTAATTATCACGGGATAATAACTGGAAACATGGTGAAAAGGCTATTATCTTTTCTCATTTAACAGCAAAAGACGTGAAAAGTCTTTGTTTGAACATTCTAGTTGTATTTGAAGTAAAAAAAAAAATGCATTCACATGTCCACAAGTGTTTCTTTTTAGCTCGCAGCAGCTTGTATGACCTGATCTCAAACCTGCCACCGTTTTACTGAACACCAATTTGACATGAAGATCTTTGATTCAGCTGAAACAGGAAACCAGTGGCGTCACTGAGGGGGCTGCTYGTGGGTGGTCTGGGACCATGGCTAGAAATTTGGTTGCTCTTTTTCGCACAATAGCAGCAACACTTTAAGCACTATTGAGTTAATAGTTAATTTCACTATTATTAATACTCCCCACATCCTGATTAAAATGTTGAAATCACAGCAGAAATGCTTTTTCCAATAAAAGACAATTGATAAAAACATCAGATGCTGCCTATTGATGGAACTGATCTTTAAAAAAAACTATACAAGTGCTCTGTCAGAAAATAGTGTCTGGATGATAAAAGGTGAGAATATTTAAATAATGCCTTATTTCACAGATGATGTGAACTAAAGTAAAAGTCAAATTTTGGATACAACAGCTTATTTAACCTAAAATGTACTGTATAGGTGTCTGAATTGTCTTCTAACAGAAATAATCTATTATTTAATGGATGAATAGATGAGACTTAATCCATCTTTTTCAGCATAGATCATTAAGCAAAACATGAGGGCCAGCAGCAGCTTTTGGATTTTTGATATCAACTTGACAAAACACATACTATAGCTAAGAATTTGTGACTAATTTAACTGTCATGTTCACAGGCAGAATGCTAATAGACTAAGTGTGTTATGATCCTTTTGTTTTGTGTTATTATTTTATTGATTCTTGTGTTTTTCCTTCCATATTTTGWTTTTCCTTGTGTTYAGCTTGTTACCTTGCCTTCATTTGACCTGTTCCTAATCTGCACTCAGTCAGTAATCACCTTTTCTCATCCTGTTTGCTTCATGTTGTTTATGTTTCTGGTACACTCCAGTTCTTTTCTTTTTGTATAGTTTGTTTTGCCACGTTTTTATTAAAGTGGTTTCAGTTTTATTTAGCTGCCTATATCTCTGTGTCTCAAGTCTTTGGGGTGTCCTCTCTGTCAAAAGATTTTAGTTTTGTTTCCTTTGCTAGCTTGTACGCTATAGGTGGCAAATTTGGTAAACAACAATTTTCTTTTTCAGTTTCCGCCGATGTATCGGAATGATCATATCATGTTTGATAATGGTTCCACTAACTAACTTTAGAGAATACAAATTGGCTATAATTCATTTTTTCCAATATTAAGCAAACATTTAGAGCTTAATTTCAGCCTCAGCTCAGACTTTCAACTTTCGACTGATCACATGATACTTTTCTTCAAAGTTCCAACATGAAAGGCTGTAGGTAATAGGCTTTTAAAAAACGAATAGGTGTTTCATTTTGCAAAGCAATTAATTAACAAATATGCAAAAATGGTAATATGTAGGCATACAAGCCTTTCATTCTATCTTTTTTGCAGATGATATA